AGGGGGGATCTTGTGGCCTGTTATAAACTAGTCAGGGGGGGACCAGCAGGCATTGGGGGAGTCCCTGTTCCCCCGAGCACTGCCAGGAGTGACCAAGAATAAGTGTCACAAGCTGGCACAGGGTAAATTCAGATTAGACATTAGGAGGCGCTACTTCACTGTCAGGGCAGCTAGGAGTTGGAACCAACTTTCAAGCAAAGTGGTGCTGGCTCCTACCCTGGGGGTCTTTAAGAGGAGGTTAGATGAACACCTTGCTGGGGTCGTTTGACCCCAGTACTCTTTCCTGCCATGGCAGGGGGTCGGACTAGATGATCTGCTCAGGTCCCTTCCGACCCTAGAAACTATGAAACCATGAAATATCAATTATAAACACAATTTTGATAAAAAATCATGGAGCATTTGGTTAAAAAAAAATAAAAGATACAGTCAAAATGCTTTCATGAACAGTTTCTTAACTTGTAAGTGTCCTTTTGTCAAGAAAAAAACCATGAACAATTTTGATTGGCTTAATATTGTGTAGGTCACTGAAGTCCAAATTATGATACCCCACTAGTTGCAAGCGGTCATATAAAAGTCCATGAGGTCACAAGCTGAAGTAAAATGCTACCCAACTTAAAGCATGAATGCTGAATTCTGGTCCCAATTATGCAGAATGTTGTCAGCATTGAAGCCAACAGCAGCACTAAGGAGGTAGATAGGTCATACAGAGGTGCACTGATATATTGGTTGCCTATCATATCAGCACTGACAAAAGGGCAGATTTACATTATTGGCCATCGGCTTTTTTTGTCCATTGTAGCTCATAATGTTCTCTGATACTTATGCCTTCTTGCTGGAGCCCCCAGATGCCTGGGTTCGCTCTCACCCATGGAGCTGGATCCCATGGCCCCCAGATACCTGGGTTCCTTTCTGAGAGCTGCCCATACTGTCAGAGCTGCTCAGGCTCTGGTCCCTCCCCAGAGCACAGCAGCACATGGAAATGCAGCCTCTCCTGGGGCCAGCAGCAGCAGCAGATTCCCATGTGCTCCATGCCTAATTGTGCCTGCCACCAGTGGGGGCAGATGGGGATATGGGGGGGGGGGCAGAGGGGCAAAGCAGCTGCTGTGGGTCTTGTAGCAGGGCACCAAGATGTGCCTGCTACTTCAAGGGCGGAAGCAGCTTGGCCAGGCTGCTCAAAAGGCTAGGCAGAGCTTCCCAGCTGCTGATTGCCTGAGCAACAGCCTAATAGGGCAATTGGCCCGCACCTTCAGGCAGTCAGTTGACCAGGCGGAGGCAGGGCCCTGGGGGACATATAAGCCTGGGGCTGGAGCTGGCAGGTACGCTGTCTCTCTCTAGCAACTGCCAAGGAAAGGAGCCTCTGCCCAAGCGAGCTACCTGAGACTAGGTCTGCCTACAAGAACAGTGAGGATCCAGGGGCCTCAGGTACTTAGGGCTAAGAGATGTGTTGTCCTAAGCGTGGACGTTTTACCTTCTTAAAGAGACAGAACAGTCTCCATTAGTGTTGTTATGCTGTAGCCCAGAGGCTTGAATTTGTGTTATTGTTTAATATGGTGGACCAGGATGTGGCTATAGGGGAGGTTTGGAAGCCTCATTAGTGCTCGGAGAAAAGGGCACAGGCAGAGCCCAGTTATGAGTGCATAGACCTTGGTGCCAGAGAGAGGGAGGCACAGGGCTGGGTGCCAGAGAGAGGTGTGAAGAGCCAGATGTCAGAGAAAGGCAGTTAGGTGCCTGGGAGAGAGGCACAGAAAGTCAGGCACCAGAGAACTTGGTGCCTGAGGGGTATAGAGACACAGAAGCCAGAGGGCTCCGTGCCAACAGGACGTGTAGAGTTGATAACAACACTGTAACATCTGTGAGGCATAGTACACAATAAGGGAAGGTTAGAGTCGTGTGTAAACTCCTAGAAATTGGGGCATTAAGAGAGCAGCTTCTCACATTATTATAACTTGTATCTTGATAACAAGGCATGGCAGGAGAAACCAAGCAAACTGCCCTAGACAGGTGGGCAGGCTGGTACTGCAACCAAGCCCTGGAGAGTGCCCCGTCACAGGTCTGATTATGGCCCCGACCTGGGATCAGGGCCAGAGTGGAAGCCATAACAGCTGCCTGTCCCCACCCCCAAATATGAGGGGGGGCTCTTCCTTCCCCTATGTTCATTGCAGGGGGCTTGTTTTACATCCAAAGCACTGGGGTAAGTGGTGCCTCATAGGACACGAGGACTCTCACAGCTGTACCCTTCCACAAGCCAAACTCTGCCCAAATTACCCCAGCACTCAAGCCCCTCTCATGGGGGTGCAGCAAGAGGCAGGACCAGGGCTCTGAAAGAGAAGAGGGAAGGTAGTGGATCCCCTGCACCTGCCCCCTTTCCTGGGTCACACACATGCTGCCGCCTTACTGAGCTCAGGGGAGACTCCGTCCCCCCTGCCTGGCAGTGGCTGTCAGAAGCTGCCCCCGCCCCCTCATCCACTTACTATCCTGGGCAGCCTCTCCCCGCACCCCGCTGTGTGCAGCAGGGTGCTTCCCCTGACCTGTCAATCCAGCTGGATCACATTATCAAAATGAAGCTATTAGGTTAGTGTTCAGTGTCTATTAGAAAGGTGTCTAGTTTTGGGGATGGGTCCTTTAGAAACACCCTGACAATCTATAGGTCAACTACAGTAGGCTGCATAATGAATAGATTGATAGGAACAGGCACTTTTCCAGGTAGTAGTCTGGGCTACATTTCTTTGTAATAGAGGATGGGGAAAGTCTATATCTGGGCTGCTAGAAGCAAAGAAGAAGAAAAAAAAGTTAGGGCTATGAAAACAAAAAGCCACCCCAAATTCATTACCAAGGGGTTCATTAGCATTTGTGAATCTCTCAGCCAACCAAAACAGAGTTTCAAGCCTTTTCTATTCTTGCAAGTTTGGGGGCATATTAATCGCATTTACCCAAGACCCAGCTGAATTCAGCAGTTTCACCTGATTTTTGAGTTTTCACTGATTTCCTACAAAACCAGAAAGAAAACAAGAATTCCAAACTTATGCAAAAAGGAAACCACCCTATAGAAGGGTTTGTTGAACCCCATGCCAGCTACAGCAGACAAGTTTTACATGGTACTCATGTGCCTGCACTGGGAAAGGACGAATGGGGAATAAGAGAGGAATTGAGGAATTCACTGGTGGGAGGGTCATATTCATTATGATCTGTGTCTATTATATACTCAAGCATTTTATTTTCACTGTTTAACTACCGTGAACAGTTCCTCAGCATGCAGTGATTAATTGATTCATAAATCATGGGAGCTTTTTATGCACAGCAGCAAAAGAGCAGTTCTGGGAGCAGAAGCTCAAGAGAGCCATATAAACTGATGGGGAAACAACAGGGGGCTGAGATCTGATCATGCCTCAAGCTGGTCATTTCTATTCTGTGCACGAAGGGGGTCAGAGCATCAAAGCATGTCACAAAGATGAGTATGGTGTTGCACAGCAGCCCCCCACTCCTCTTCTTCAACCTGCTATGAAGAATCAAGGGGGGGAAACGGTAAGCACAGATGTCAAACAAATCTTATGTTCCATCCTAGAGGTATGGTCTTTCTGCAGACCAATCTAGGTCAGCACATCACATAGACTACCTTACATATTTCAACAGGTTTTTGCCCTATTCATTTATATACAGGTAAT